ACAACATCCATGTCTAATAACCGACGTTTACTTTCTTCCTCATAAATCAATAACAGAAAATTGGATTCCCATACTTTTTTGAATGCTTTTAGTGTGACAACTGCAATGAACCGGTGAATTATTGGGTTAAGTCATTCAGTGTAGTGGAATGTGCCATTCAAGGTATATTGCACATGCCGCATCTTTTCCTCAAAACGCATGCATGTAACTTGAAATGTTCGTAAGTCGTTATTCAACATCATTTTAAGGGTATACGCAAGTACAAAGAACTAGGATGCTGGGAGTACGCATTCTACACTGTGCCACATGCACGGAGTAGCGGCCAGAAGTCATACCAGGCAGAATTGGCACGCAGAAAGAAAAAATTGATGCTGCGAACAGGAAACGGGAGCCCAAGGAACACAGTTTGGACTTACAGTCCTCTTCGTTCGTATGTCTGAAAGTTCGTAAGTTGAAAGTTCGTAAGTAGAGGAGTGTCTGTATTTGCTTAATTTTTCACAAATCAATTATTGCACCGAAAACACATAACTCTTTATAGGAACTTTCAGAATTTCCCAGTTGAATCACAAATTGATGTAATCTCTCATGCTATAAGTCAAAACATTTTAAAAATCAGGGAAATGAATCCATAAATAAAGACAGACACGACTGTGGTTTCATCTCTCACGTGATTGCTTAGTGACCATCTGGATAGCCAATCAATGATTGAGAATAGAATTAAGCACAACTAAAGTGTGCATGATGGACAGTCTGAATGATCCACCTTATTATTTTTTGTTCCAGGACAAGATTTTTTTGTTATTTTCAGCAATAAAAAGTTGCTATTTAAGAAACATGCTAGTATTTTCTGTCTGAATATACATTTAATCTGTATATTTGCTCTGGCCAAAAATCGAACTGAATTTCATCCAACCGTGCATGACCTGTGAACTGGAATATGAACCAAACCGTTAAAATTTGTACCACTGCAGCCCTACGATCCTCCAACTCTACTTACTAACTATTTATTTAGTTTTTGAAATTTCTGATGGGTGACATGCCTGAATGCTTGTTCATTGCAGTATATTAATAAATTTGGCAATCCAAGACATTTAAACAAATAAGAATCAGCATTCTGCACTATATGACTACATTGTAATCAGGAGCAGATTCTATTTTTCTAACCTGGAACACACTGAAAGACATAAGCATTAGAGGATGAACAGTGCGAGGCATGCTATAGTCATGTCACCACAATAAGAGCACATACACAAATTAAATTCTGATTGTTATTAGGTGTAAACAACCATTTCTTCAGGTGAATAATTCTGAGAAGGCGGGTGATAAAGCAGCAGGAGAGGGAAGCAGTAGACTGATGTCAAGGATCAAAAGAAAAAGGTGATGCTGTATTTAGAAAAAAAAAGAGAGCTTGTTCTTCCTAACGCTAGTGATGGCCAAATGAAGCTTCATGAACCATTGGCTCCATCTTTTGACCCCACTAGATGGCGCTCTTGGTTTGCTTTAGGGCCTGCTCTGAGCCTTTTTGTTTCTTTGAACAGAGGGCACCATCTAGTGGTGTGAGAAAAGACAGCAAATGGTTCATGAAGCTTCATTCAGCCATCACTACCTAACACCTCCGAAAAAACCTGCAATGGCTAACACCCTCTACGACGCATCTTGTTCGATTAAAAAAATCACAGCTTTTACAAGATGCAATCTCTTAAGCACATAGTCTTGATTTTACTTTTCTTATTTCCACATCTCATAACTTTTAAAATACGCTGTTTTCTCCCAGACCTGAAGCGATTTAAGACATCCAGAAGCGGTATATGTTAAAATGATGATGATTCAGTGATACTTGCATGCACACTTGCGTACCAGTTATGTGTATCCATATGTATGAGACCATCAGTTTACGGTGTAATATGTGTCACTAAATACAGTTGTTAGTGTGAAGAACGTGGCCAGCAGTGAGGGCCACATGCATTCTCTACTTGCGACAAAAACTAGATTTTGGTATTTCAATAAAGATAATTTTCCCGGTATTATGAACATGCTACCTAATGTCAGTGCTCTCATAATAACTTAGCTGACATAATATACATGAATGCAGGGTTGCCAGGTTTGGTCAGCTGACTGAAGAGGGATTTTCAATTTGGGACCAGTCTGTACAAACATGCACACACATTCACATGTATGTAACAGTTTTATTACCTTGTAAATAGTCTGTAGGGTTTGCAATCTACCTCAATGGTTTTGATGAAGCTAATTTTAGGTTTATAATGGAATGATATAGATTTGCCGTAAGACTTCTTGGGTGAGCGTGAGAGTCTGAAAGTGCCAGATGCGTGAGAGTTGGCAACCCTGTGAATGGGTAATGTGCTTGGTGTGCTGGGATGCTCTACTGGGGATCATTCCTACCTGCCTCCGTCATGCACTACAACACCTCCTCCCGACGTGTCACTCTACACCCCCAGCAATAACACACCAGGAAGCAATCTGTCTTGGGCATAGAAGTCTGGCGCTGCCTGTTTTTAAATTGCAAATGTTAATTGCAGATTCCCAACTGCTAATTTATTGTTATTTTTTCCTAATATTAATTTAATTAGTTTTCTATAACATTCAGTTTTTCAGGATTCTATTTGTGCACTGCGTACTTTTTAATCTATTTGCACCGTGTTTAGTAGTTTTGCACTGTGTACTGTCTGTGCATCCTGCTTGTTTCACACTGCATGTCTGTTCCTCTGTGCTCTACATACTGGGATCTAGGATCAATAAAGTAGATCTAATCTAATCTAATCCCATCTTCTTGCCCATCTCAGTCTCATAACAGCTCTTTTGAATCTCGGGGAATCTCTTTGTGTTTATTGAAGTGAATTTTCAGCCCACTTAAAATCGGTAATGAATCCCCAGTTACGTCCTTCATGCCCCATGACGGCTGGGTGTGTCATGCACTCCTGGCTTTTTCTCGCACCACGGGAAAGCTTAACAGTGCTCTGATTGCGGCGCCTTCACGGCACTGAAAGGAAACCCCCGCTTTCTGTCTCCATTACCCGTGCGGCGGTTTGACTGCTCAGCCGGGGAGCATCGCCCTCACCGTGCTATCAGAAGCAGCGGCCTTGATTGAAAGGTATTTTGGGGCTATAGTGTGGATCATGGTAATATGCTGGCAAATTATATCGAATGGGCTTCGAAGGGAAAGAGAATAAGGTGAGGCAGGGGAAGGCAGGAAGACGGTTGGACTTCCACAATGATATTAGCACATTAGCTAAGGAGAAAGAGTAGTCTGTGGGCTGAACATGAAGAACATCCTTTCTCTAATATGCATTGGTGTACATAAGGGCATAACTTTGGATTGAGCATTAGGGGAGCTGAGGTCTCCACCAATTTAAGGGTGTCTAAGGGGTTGTATTGACTGGTTTTGATTACTGGGGGGTGACAACCCATCCCCCCCATAATTTATGCCCGTGAGCGTACCTCATAATGTGCTAATGTGTAACTGTCAGCTAATGGACCAAATTGAGTGAGACATTTCGGTGCAATAACCTACGTATGTCTTCTGTTCCCGGCCTTAACACATGCTTGAACACACACACATACATGCACGCTATGCAAGTCGATTTGGAAGGGAGCTGACTTTTAAAAGAAGAAGGCAAAAAAATTTTTTTAAAAATTCTGTGTCAAAACGTGGTACTAATAAAATAACCAGGAAAAGACATGGGAGGAACTGCCCAACACACCCCCCCCCCCCACAAGCCCTCTTTCCAGCAGAGCGACCAGGTGAGCCGGTGTGGTCCCTCCCGTCGTGAGATCTCACTAGAACCTCCTCTACCATCATTAGGTACATGTAGCTGTGACAGAAGACATCTGTCCATACAACATAGATCAGTGTTTGTCAACCCAGTCTTCAGGGACCCCGCAGACAGTCCACATGTGCCCCCCCCCCCAGCTTCTAACACAGCTGTAGCAGGTTTTAGGGTGTTCCTGATGGTTTGATGGTTTGGTTCAGGCGTGTGGAGAGCTGGGAGGGAGGAAAAATGTGGACTGTCGGGCGGTTCCTGAGGATCGGGTTGAGAAATACTGACATAGATGTGTGAGGTGGCCGGTCGGCACCAGACCCCATTCCTGCCACCAACCACCGGACTGAAACAGAAGCTTCAATGACACCATGAGCGCCAGATATGGAAGTGGGAAACCCGAATAATATAGAGCTTGTGTTTCACTCTCCCGGGGCCCAGCTCTGGTTCTTTGGGGCTGTGTGAATGTCGACCAAACCGAGAGACACACCGTGGACACGCATCAGTGTGGGATGGCGTCAAAACACACGCCTCTGAAATATACTTTCAACCATAGGGGACACAAGTCACAGAAAAGCAAAAAGGAAAAAGTTCAATGGAAGCTTCCCTTCCTGAAGGATATAATGGAATCATGTTATCATGCACAGGTCCCTGGTGAGCGAACGAAAACAGAAACGGAGACAGAGAGGAAGAGGGAAACCAAGATGGAGCCGGAATTAGCAAACGAAAAACAGCCTCTGAGAGAAAGAGAGGGAGGAAGACAGAATTAGATGCAGGGGCAGTAGAGTCTTGGCTGGCAACCGGCGCTCCTATTGATCGGCTGCCAGTGCCCATATACGGTGCTTTACCCCCCCCCCAAACCCCCCACCACCCTGCCCCGCCCCCCAGCCCCAAGCGAGCACTTTACACTCTCTCTAGTGCAGAACATGGCTGTATATTTAAGAACAGCAGTTAGTGGGGGCTGCTACGGGGGCTCATGGCTAATGACTTTTTAATTTACAGCGCTTCCCATAATGCACTGGGCAGGGTCGGCCGAACAGAGCGGGCCGGGCTGTCCGCCCGCTTAATATCGCGGGCGCCTTAATTAAAATTAATTTCCACACCGTCTATATAACGGGAGGGGCGGGGGGGGGGAGTGAGGGAAACTGAGTGGGGGACAAAAGAAGGAGGAAGAAAACGATAGCAGAAAGAGTCGTTGGGAGAAGAGTAGTATTCTGAAGCTACCTCCACGGCTTTCGCTGTCCGCTGGCTTCACTTGGATGGGGCGAGTCATCTGGAAACGACAAAGGGGGGCGGAGTTAGCTCTGCTGTGTGAAGAATCCCCCCCCCCCAAATACACACACACGCGCACAACCCGAAACACAGGTTCCACGATACACATCACCAAAGACGGGTCCAAGTCCGCAGTGCATGTGACATAAACACGGGCCACTCAAACTGACACACAATCGCTCTTACTGATGTATCACATGTTTACGGCAAAGCGGGTGACTGTGGTCCAGGGACAGAGCGCCAGAGGCAGACTCTAAGGCAGTGCGTCTAACCTGTCAGCTACTTAAAGCTTCAGAGGAAGATGAACAGAGGGATGTCAATCCACAGATTTTGTTGGAGCAGACCGGGTCAAACTAAATCCATTTGTGAGAAGGCTTCCATAATCCAGCAGAACTTGACAGGAATTCCATTTGCTAGATTAGATGTCTCTCTCTGAAAAGTCCTGCCTGCTGTCATTTATCGCATGTTTTTATTCTCATTATTGTTTCACCCTGAAGCTGAACAGTTTCTTCTATAGCATGCTATACGTATGAAAGGTTATAAGATGATGAAATCACAAGTACAGCTCATAGATGACACCGATTGGCTGCAATCTAACGCTCCAATAGGGAAGATGATGGCAATTAAGTTATTGAATCCTTGAATGCATTGCAAGCTGACATTGAAAACTATTCAGATTATGCTTCAAAGATTCGGCAGGGTTTAATTATGCCATAGAAGACAAAGTGGGAAGCCGATTCCTTCCCAGGCTGCCTGCTTTTAGCATGATTCTGTCATGCCCAGTGTCTATACAGAAAAAACATGCATTAATAGAACAGCAGGCAGAAAAACACACCAGGAATCCACATCATTCCGTGACAAGATTAGCCCCTGTCCCTCAAAGCCCGCTGAAGCTCGCAGGCAAGAATAGCCGCCAGCCACCCTCATCTATGGTTTTGTTTTTGGTACCAAAAATTGAAGAATCCACGTCCACATTAGTTCTATTCCTTCCTCAGCCACATCTTTCTTGTCGCGTCCAACTTAAAAAGGTCAGATTTAAAGACTGGTCAGCCCCTTAAAAGTGTGACTTGTTCAAGGAGAAACACCATGATGGGATTTTAAAGTGTCTTAATAACTTGCTGATATATGGGGATTCTGCCTAGGGCAGATTCATTAAGTGCTAAACACATCCATTTTCACCTTGGGGAGGGCAGTAACCTTCATCCCTGTTGGTCTTTTAACATAACCATGGTAAATAATACTAGTTTGGGCAATATTTAGGGGGTTATACAATAAAAGAAAAATAAACTAAAGAAAAGCTTATTATCTGACACTAACTTGCCTCTAGAGAGCTGGAGTGAAAGGGTTATACTCAGGGATATACCCACTGTATGCAATCCCACTGTGCATGTTTGTATTTCAGTATGGCTGCGTACATCTGTAGGCCGTGCATGTATGTCCTGTTCCATGGTGCCGCCCCTGCAAGCAGTTACTGTTTTCAGTGAGCCCTGACATTCCAGCAGATGCTTCCCCCCCCCCGTTCCCCGTCTACCATCTCTGGCCCCTCAGCTCCTGAGCTGCAGGCACCTTGACGTCACTCCAGAACCTTCTGTCCACTTTGGATCAGGTGCACCTGATTGCTGGAGTCGCCATGCACTGTCCCACTAACTGCAGCCCCGTTACATAAACGCCTGATTTCCCACAAAGCAGCATGAGAGGTAAAAATGAAGCTAAAATTTGATGTCATAATCCCACCCTGTTCTGTTAGTGGAGGTTGCATGTTCTCGGTGAACTGGGCAGCTTTCAACAGTCCAGATTCTTGCAGGTAGATGATCTGGTGTTTCTACATTGCCCTGTGCTGCCTGGGACAGGCTCCAGACCCCACCTATGATCCTGTATCGATCAGCAGTTGAAATATGAAATAAAAGCATAATCTTATGCAAAGCTTAAATCTTCCTTACATTTCATCATGGCTGCTTTGTAACTATTATTAAAAACTAATTTTCACAACAACTTCAACATGTATATAACATATCAATGATGCAATTGCATGTGCTCATATATGAAGGTATAAATTTACATGTCACGCAATAACATACAGGCTTACACAGTCGCACACACACACACACACACAGGTTTGCATGCATTTCCATGAAGAAAACCCTAACCCTAACATGATGACCCTAACCCCTACCCAGCCCTAACTTTACCCATAAGTAGCCAAACAAAATACAAGACTTTTGGCATTTTTACTTTTTTGATTGCATTCACAGATCTTTGTGGGGACCTGAAAACAGTACCCACAACATCAAAAAACATGTTTTTATTACATTGTGGGGGCCATTTGTAATATAACCCTAATCCACAGACACACACAGAAATAAGTTTCCATATAATAAGTATGGAAGGTAATGGATGTTGGCTGTTGTCAAAGCAGATGCTGGACCAGGACTGATGCCAGACCAAAGAATGACTCAATACCCGTCATTTCTTGACTGATGACCCATAATTACTTGCAAACATACATGGAGGTGATTCTTTTAATGGTCTGCAAAACCTCCGCATGCCATGGGGCCATCTATACGTCTACGGGAGAGGAGGACAATTGCTTTGCACCGTCAATGGAAGCAGAAAAATGCATTAAGAAGTGAAATGACAAAGGATGGACTGGCATGTCACCTTCACAGGGAGAAGGACCCAAAAGGCCGCTGGTTTGAGGGAAAGAGAGAGAGAGAAAGAGAGGGAGTGAGACAGAAGGGGAGGCCCACAGCTCAGGAGGTCCAGTCCAAAACCACATGACCATCTGCCCTCAGGAAATGTGCCCGGTTATAGCAAAAGAGCCCTCATTAATTTCAGTAAACAAATATATTCCAGGGATGTCTTAACGTTTCAACATTTTTTATTGATGGAAAAGGATTGCGTGGTGATGCATCAGACTGTCGTTATATACTTATTCATCAGAACACGTCTATTTTTATGTGGGTCCAAATTGGATGGCTTGTTTGTTCAAGCAGCTTGCAGTTAACGATGGTAAAGCTCGACATACAGTGTCAGACTTTGTCCAGGGCGTCTTTTTCACTTGGCCGCATCATCTGCTGCAGTTTGATTCTTCAGATAACGGAGGTTGCAGACAAGGGGGGAGAAAAAGACTCTGGGAAGCAATATTGGAGCAGCTGGGTTGGCCTCATGTGTGTAATACTATGTCAAATCTCACCAGAACTTATTTTTGATGTTATTATTATTATTATTGGAATTATTGGAATTGGAATTATTATTTTTCCAAAGTATTATATAATTTTTATGGCTGGATATGACAGCCATACTGTCAGCAGCCACACCGCCTGCAGCTAAGACTCAGTACTGCACCGGAAGCTGAGCAGGTTTGGGCCTGGTCAGTACGTGGATGGGTGACCAATGAAGAAAGCTGGGTTGCTGCTGGAAGAGGTGTTGGTGCAGCCAGCAGGGGGAGCCCATCCTGTGGTCTGTGGGGATCCCAATGCCCCAGTGCAGTGATGGGGACACTGTGGCCAGCAGGGGGAGCCCATCCTGTGGTCTGTGGGGATCCCAATGCCCCAGTGCAGTGATGGGGACACTGTGGCCAGCAGCTGCAGCAGGGGGAGCCCATCCTGTGGTCTGGGGGGATCCCAGTGCAGTGATGGGACATTGGGCTGTAAAAATGTTGCCGTCCTTCAGATGAGACATAAAGCTGAGATCCTGACTCTCTGAGGCCCTAAAGGATCCCTGGGTGTCTTTTGAAAGACTAGGGGTGGTACCCTGATCCCCTGGCTAAAACTGCCCTCTGTGGCCCTATCAGATCTGGCCTGCTAACCATCCCCTATATCTAACTGGTGAATTCTCTCCTGCCCCTTCACCACCTTAGCCACTGTGTGGTGAGCGTACTGGTGCAGAATGGCTGCAGAACCAGGTGGGTGTTACACAGTGGTGGTGGTTCAAGCAGCTCCCCATTGGGTCTGTAATGAGCTTTGGGTGTCTTGAGAAGTGCTACACAGATGTAGCATTCAGAGCTGTTCAGATAAAGTAACCCACTTAGGAGTACAACAGCAGAGCCCTGTCCAGGACCTGAA